TTTGATAGGTCGGGTCTTAAATGTAAGTTGATCTGGGACGTGGTGTGGTTTACTGACTGGAGAGCATTCTGTTCCTTCATATGGCAGTCCATGTAATGATATATGTGATTCCGAGATATGGGGTTCATATTCAACCGTCACATTCTGTCTTAGGGATAAACGGTACTGTCTGCTAGATGTTTTAAACTGTATATTATCGTTTTATTTATTCTATCCATCTGATTATGTGTGACGTGTTTTAATTTAGTAATGTTGATTTGAGTTGTGAATTGTCCGGTGAGATGGCTAAAAACTTTTATGCATCTTGGAGACGATGTGATCAAGATATCATTGTGTGTGTGCTTAGATGGGCGGTTATTGATTATTTTGGAGGTATTTTTAGTATACTAATTTATATTCTCTATATTCGTTCTATTTTTTATTGTTTTGACTCTATATGTATTTTATAAACATAGGCAAGATCACTATATCTTCCACTTCTCCTACTAAGTTCGAACTCAATCCCCGTAATCCTGAGTTAGATAAGTTTTTGGAACATTGAGTTTCTAATACTTAATGATTGTATTTGACTTTTTTGTATTAACTCGTGGTCGCCTTCTCTCTCTCAAATCTTTTTTATAACACTGCAGATATCCGCGTAAGAGGCCATGCACGCGTGGTAGTGTGAGACTTCTACATTGAATAGTGTTATGATGCATCTTATTCAGATATGCATATATCATTTTAAAAAACTATTTACCATGTATACAAATTATAGTTTAATTATTCTTTATTCTTCAGACCTTTTTATTTTAATCAATAAATATATTTTTTAATGTCATTATTATTGTTGTTTGATATTGAAATATGGAAAGCGGAGAAAATAATATAAGTTATATATTCACATAAATAACGCATGTTTTTATTGATTTCTTGGACTCCAAGTAACTCAAATTTATAAATATTTTAGAGGATTCGAAGATATTCCCGATTATATCACAACTTTTAGTTTTTTTCCATTTAGCAGCTATGAAAATCATGGTGTTTCTTTTATCAGACACATGATATATAATTGATT